GCTTGTACTTCTTCCAGGATAGATTTATTCATTCTTCTGGCAGTCCATGGTATATTCAATATTCTTCACTAATGACATAATTCTAATGCATCAATTCTTCTTCAATCTTCCTAATTCACTTTATAGCTTTTGTATGCATATGATGTGATTGAAAATACTATAGCTTAGATCAGGTACCCCTAAGTCCTAAAGGTGATATCTTCGCTCTTGAACACTTTTAAGTGGTCATTTGCAGCAGGTTTGCCCAATGCAATATGTCGTTTGATTTCTTGACTGCTGCTTCTGTGGGCATTGATTCTGGATGTAGTGTGTTCTTGCCTTTTGATTTTCTAACTCTAGGTCTTTGGACATTTTGTTATAATACTTTACTTTATCTTCTCAAGCCACCCTTAGAAATCTTCTATTCAGCTGTTTTACTTCATCATCCATTTACTTTAGCTACTTCACATTCAAAAGCAAGTTTCAGTGTCTCTTCTGACATCGATTTCAGTGTTTTCTTCCTTTCCCACTTCTTTGATGATCTTTTGCTTTTTCATGTATGATACCTTTGATGTCACCTCACAACTTATCTGGTCTTTAGTCATTGTGTTTAATGTGTCAAATGTTTTCTTCAGATGGTCTTTAAATTCAGGTGGAATATACTCAAGATTGTACTTTGGTTGTCATGGACTTGTTTTTGTTTTCTTCAGCTTTAACCTGAACTTGCATTTGAGTAATTGATGGGTCTATTTTGCAGCTGGCCCCTGGTCTTGTGCCGATTGATAATATTGAGCCTCTCTATCATCTCTTTCCACAGATGTAGTCAATTTGATTCCTGTGTATTCCATCTGGTTAGGTCCACATGTATAGTCACCATTTGTGTTGTTAAAAAAAAAAAAAAAAAAAAAAGGTATTTACAATGAATAAGTTGTTGATCTTGTAAAATTCTAACATAAGATGTCCAGTGTCATTTATGTCACTAAGGCCATATTTTCCATCTACTGATCATTTTTCTTTCTTTTGCATTCCAATCACCAGTAATTATCAATGCATCTTGATTGCATGTTTGGTCGATTTCTGACTGCAGAAGTTGGTATAATCTTCAATTCCTTCATCTTTGGCATTAGGTGGTACATAAATTTGAATAATAGTCATATTAACTGGTCTTCCTTATAGATGTATGGATATTATTCTATCACTGATAATGTTGTATTTCAGGATAGTTCTTGAAATGTTCTTTTTGACAATGATTGCCAAACCATTCCTCTTCAAGTTGTCGTTCCTGGCATAGTAGACCATATGATTGTCCCATTCAAAATGGCTGATATCTATCCATTTCAGCTCAATGATTAATAATGAATTAATCAATTAATTCAAAAATAATTCTAATTTTTCTAGTTTCATACTTCATAGACTCCACATTTTGATTATTAATGTTAAAGCACTGGGCTGCTAACCAAAAGGTCAGTAGTTTGAACCCATGAACTGCTCCAGGAGAGAAAGATGAGGCAGCCTACTTCTGTAAAGATTTACAACGTTGGAAAACCTATGGGGGCAGTTCTACTCCGTCCTATAAGATTGCTTTGAGTTGGAAATGACTTGATGGCAGTAGGCTTGGTTTTTGATTTGGTAAATGTTTCTTCTCATTTTTGTCGTGTCACATCAGCAAATGAAAGTCCTGAAAGCTTTACTCTATTCATGTGATTAAGGCCAATTCTAGTTTGAGGAGAGGCTCTTCTCCAGTCATATTTCCAGTACCTTCTAACCTGAGGGGCTCATCTTCCTGCACTGTATCAGACAAAGTTCCACTGCTACTCATAATGCATTCATTGGCCAATTCTTTCTAGAAGTAGACCACCTGGTACTTCTTCCTAGTCTGTCCTAGTCTGTAAACTCCACTGAAACTTGTACAGCATGGATGACACTCCTGGTATTTGAAATACTGGTGGCATAGCTTTCAGTATCAAAGCAACACACAAGCCACCACAGTACCACAAACTGACAGACGAGCAGTGGTACAGAATGGTAGTAAGGATCAAATGAGCTAGTATAGATGCTGAAGTTCTTTGAAAACTGTTAAGGGGTATTTAAAAACTGGTATTTTTATTATTGCATGTCTGATTCATGGTGATCCTGTGCATAATGGTATCAGGCTGGTGTGATCCATGGCATTTTCACTGTCTGATTTCTTAGATGTAGATTGCCAGGCCTTTCTTTCTAGTCTGTGCTAGTTTACAAGCTCCACTGAAACCTACTAAGGTTCACAGCAGCATACAAGCCTCCACTAACAGACATGTGGTAGCTGCACATGAGCACACTGGTCAAGAATTGAGCACAAGTCTCCCACACAGAAAGCAAATGCTCTGTTACTGAACCATTAATGCCCCTGTCTAACAAATGGTACAAAGTTCCTAAGCAAGGACCAAGATTTCCCAAAGAAGAATCTTCAGTGGCTAATGCAGATGTCCAAGATCTTACCTGAACCTTGAGCTTCTTCCCTAACCTTCCACCACTGGCCATAAAGGATGAGGTATGGTTATCTTTTGACTGGACCATGAAAAGGAGTAAGGGAAAACAGACCCCAAAGTTCTACTCAGAATTGGAACACTACTCATCTAAAGAAAACATCATCTTCCATACAATGTGGAACCTCTGGAGACTTAGGATACACATTCATTCTGGTTGATTCAATCACATCACAAAATCTATGGAATTTAAGTGTCACCAAGAACTTTTGAAATCATTTGTTCCAATTCCTCACTTTACCGATAAAGAAATTTTGCCTACAAATCCTAAGCCATGGCCTCAAATCACATATCTAGTTAGTGACAAACTGAGTCTTCTGCTGTACTTATAGGTTTATATAAAAGTTTTGTTTCTATCATGTTCCCATCACCAACATCTTTTTAGAATGATCATTAGGGACTAACGTGGGTTCAAATCCCAGTCACCATTTATTAATTCTGTGACCTTATGTGAGTTATTGAAATCTCCATTTCTTTATTTGTCAAGTAAGGATCACAACATCTTTCTTAAAAGTTTGTTGTATGATAAAAAGGGTAATGTCTATCAAATAAATAGCAAAACTGTGCCTGGTTCCTGCTTCACTGCTCCCTCCCCACATGAATTTCCTATACTAACTATTGTAATGTTCTTTAATTTTTTAATTTATCATGGACTGTCAGAAGAACAAACACCTCTGTCTTCAAAGAAGTACAACCAGAACGCTACTTGGAAGCAAAGATGGCGAGATTTCATCTCATATACTTTGAACACATTATCAAGAAGGACCAGTACCTGGAGAAGAACATCATGCTAGGTAAAGTAGAAGATCAGAGAAAAAAGAGGAAGAACTTCAAGGAGATGGATTGACACAATGGCTGCAACAATGGGTTCAAACATAACAACTGGGAGGATGGCATAGGACTGGGCAGTGGTTTGTTCTGTTGTACGTGGGGTGACTATGAGCTGGAACCAACTAGATGGCACCTAACAACAGCAACAATGTTCTTTAAAACTAAACAGTGTATAAAGACCATTTTTTAAAACATCTCATTTGAAAAAGTAACTAAGAGAACTAATGCTCATGAAAGTTTCTTTTGGTATGGAAGTGGTGAAAAAAATAATCCTCCCTTCTGGTCTAAAAACCTGGCTGCACCAAAGCTCCCACTTTCCACATAATGTGCCCTTCTCAGTGGCAGCAGTCACTGTATAGCAATATATTATAGTAAAGTAGTGTAGAGCACAGAGGTGCACTATAGTATGTTTGCTTTCGCACCTCTGCACCTCTCCCACCAGGTACCGCTGAGTTCACTGATTCCAGCTGCTACTTTTTCCTTCCTTTCCTTCCAATCCTTGTTTCAGAATGTGTCTTGTCTGCGGACAGTTATCTCCCTTTATCAACACAAGAAAGAAACTGGTCCGAAGTGACGTTGGGTCCTCCCTCCTCACGGGACTGGAGTCCTCTTGTCCCCACACCTGACAGCCCATCTCCCTTCGCCAGCGTCCATCTCTTCCTCCATATGCCCCTTAGCGATTCACCTAGTCATCAACTTCTCACTTTCAGATCCCTGCGTTTCTGAAAAATATGGGACTGGACGAATTCTTCAGATGGGGCGGGCAGCCACCTCCTCTGATACCCTGACCCTTCCCGCAGCAAACACAGGCCCAAGGCCCAAGGGCTCTTTCTTTATGAGCAAAAAAAAAAAAAAATTGACTCGCTTTACTTTCCTGAAGGCGGTTCTGTCGTGCTCCAGGACGCAGTACCTCACGATCTCTGGTTGGGAATGCGCCCCAGAAGGATACACCAGCAGGACCAGCCTGGAGCGCAGAGGAGGCACATCCTATTGTAATGGGACTGTTAGCTGCCCCAGCCTAGCCCCTACGGGAATCCGACTCCCTCCCCCACCCCAGGGGGAGCCACTTCTCCAGCCTCAGAGGCCGCTACAGGAGCCGAGCACCACGAAGCCAAGGCGCCGCACTCTGCCTCCCCAGCCACCGCTGAATCCCCCTCGCTAGCAGCAGTCATGTTCCTTCTGGTGTCTGAAAAAGCGGGGACAGGCACCCTTTCCGCTCATTCCTGAGCTAGGGGTATGAAGTGAGGAAAGGAAACTTTCAGAGTTGAAATGGGGATTAGCTAGTCCTCTTGTGAAGTCTCCAAAAGCCCCCTGTGGTGGGGAAGGAGGATAAGGCCACTACTATCACATACCACCTATGAGAGTTAAGATAGGTTGGTTATCCCCACAAACACTCCAGGCGCACACAGACCCGCGCGCGTCCATCCCCAACCCGATCGCCAGACGCGCATAGGACCAGCGCAGGCAACGAGATGTGCGCACCAAGTTCCCTAGGTTCACCAGGCGGCCCCCTGCCCCGCCGCCTGCGACCCGTGCCCTCCCGCGGAGTGAGGTCCCACCAGACAGCCAGCGCCAGCAGCCAGGGGTGTGCGTGCTGCACAGTCGGCGCTCCGCAGGCGGCTCTCGCCTCCCACAGCTGCAGCCCGGGGTCCCTCGCCCGCTCACCAGATGGCCATCCTGCTCTTCGGGTAGTCCAGCCGCTCCAGGCAGCCGAGAAAGCGAGGTAGCGTGTGGGCAGCGTTGCGGGCGAGTATGGCCACGAGCACCGTGGGTCTCTGTATCGGTGATTCAGGGAAAACCACCACCTCCTCTTGGTCATCCTCCGAGTCCGGCTCGGCGGCAAAGCGCGCCCCACAGTCGCCGCGGAACAGAGCCGAGGAGAGAAGCAGCAGCGACCAGACGAGGGTGGCGGCGAGGCGTGCAGCCATGTTAAGGACTGGGTAGAGTGGCCGAGAGGTCTTGCAGTGAGCACAGAGCCAGGCTTCCCCAGGGGCATCCGAGGCCTGCGGGGAGGTGCTGGCGTGCGCCGCGGCTTCCGCGGCTCCCAGGGAGCAGAGCCAGCTGCACCCGACAGAGAAATGATGCCTAGTCGGCCGGCGCCCACACACTGCCACTGGGCTACTGGAGCTCCCAAAGCCCTCCCGCCGCCTCTGCCACTGCACCGTCCAGGCCCTGACACGGGTGTGCACCGCGAACCTGCCTCTGCCAGCCCTAGGTTGTGACTTAAGCTCTAGACAGTGATGTCTGTGGGCTGTTTGTCCTGAGCTCTGCGCTGCGGAAAGTTCCTCTAGTCCAGACTCAGCTTGTACAGCTGAGGTCTGTGGCTTCTCCCAGAGACGTGAGGTGTGGCCGTGTCTGCCAATGGGCGTGTGTGTGTGTGTGTGTGTGTGTGTACACATAACGGTACAACCCCAAGAAAATTTATTCTGCTTTTGCAAACCGCAGTCTAAAGTCCTTCACAGTGATGCAATGTATCCACTTTTTCATAATGCATCTATTGACTACATGAGTAGCATTCTAAAATGGAAAGTCACCCCTACCATTCATGACTATAAGAAACGATTTTTAACTCCCATAAAGGCAGAATGCTTGCATTTCTTTATACAATCAACCTCTCTTGAATTTCATCCTTGAATTGACCACAGATAACACCAGGTTGGGAGAATTAGAGAATTTTAGAGCCAGATCGAACTCCTGAAATTAAAAGGAAACCCCTGGTGGAACAGTGTTCTGAAGTCACACACTACCTGCCAATATGAGGTCCTGAGTTTCCTGACAGGATGGTGTGTAAAAGAGGAGCTTTGGTTAGGTGATTTTCTTTTTCATTAATGATCCAAAGTAATTTCCAAACTTGTGCCAAAGAAACTAATAAAGCATAACAAAGGGAGAAAAAACATACATGTTGGAAAAAGAGAAGAGAGACAGGAGAGGTGGAGGAAGAAAACAACTAGCACATAAAATGAAATCGCTAGGATACACTGCTGAAGGATATTTACTTTTGAGGATAACATAGGAAAAAATGAGTAAAGAAAATAGAATTTCTTCTTTGTGAAGCTGTGTAGCCTTTGATGTATCTGTGTGCAAGGTGAATTGATGTCACTGAACATTCATGACCTTCAACCCCAACTTGCCCTCAGCTCTGTCCCAGTCTTTTAACTCCTCCGGACAGCAATTGCCTAAGGCACTTGACTGCTAACCGGAAGGCTGGCAGTTCAAATCCACCAGCCTGTCCTCAGAAGGAAGGTTGGGCAATCTACTTCTGTAGTGATACTGCCTCGGAAACCCAAGGAGGGGTCGCTATGAGTCGGGTCCAACTCAACAGCACATAACAACAACAACTCTCCTCCAAATCACTCATTTCCCTCAGAAAAAAAATCTCTCCTCCTTCAATTAACTGCCTCAACATCCTTGTCCCTAACATTCCCACCCAGGACCCCATTCAAGATAGGGTCTTTGATCCCATCCTCTCTCTTTTGGTTCATAACTATTCTCATCATATATCTCCACTCTATTAAATCTTCAACTGGTCCCATTCTGCTAGCTAGAAACTTGGTCAGGTCTCTCCTATCCTTAAAAAAAAAAAAAAAAATCATTTTTTAAAATTATATTTCCTTCTAGAAACCCCTCCCCCTCTTGGCTTAGCTCCTTGCAAGAGCTATCTCCACTCTTCACTTCCCATCTTCCCCCACCGCTGTGCATATTATTTCATCCCTCTCAACTTCTCTGTTCCAAAGCCCACAGACAACCTCAGTATCCACAGAATCAGTGAACTCTTCATTTCTCACCTTCCTGGTCATCTGCTACCTAATCTTTCCTCCTCAGTCTCCTCTGATTCTACTTGCCTGCCAACCCCTCCAGTGTATGTTTTCCCAGGGTCTCATTCTTAGCCCTCCAAGCTTTTCACTCTGCATGGTCTCCATGGGTGATTTCATCTTCCAGATTCATGCCTCCTGCCCTACCTTATTCTCCATGTTCAGACTTTTCTTTCCAATGGTCTATAGACATTTCCTTCCCCTCCATTCTCCTTAGGAAACATCTCTGCTCTCACAGGCTCACAGTCTAATGGGGAGGGTTGAGAGTTAAACGACTAGCTACAGTGGAGCCACGGAGGAAGGCATGGACACATCTACAGGAGAGATGGTGATGGTGGGACCTTGGAAATGTTTCATGGAACTGATCTCCAGTTTGCTCTGTCCATGAGTTTCTATTTTCCATTCTTTGCCTACTTCCCACTTGCCTTTCAAGACTAAGATCCCCTTTTCTCAGCAAGGCATGGCTTAATATTTATCATTTGTTCACCTTTCTGCAAAGAAAGGGAATTTAAAGCTAGGAACCCCATTTCTGTCTTAATTTCCTTCTATTAATGAAGGCTTCTCTGAAGTCAACAGCTTATCGGTTTTCTGCAAGAATGATTAGGCACTTGAAACTATGCTGTTTTTGGCTTCCCAATGGTCACTAATAACACTGTGATATTTTAATCAGCTCTGCACCATTCTGCTAAAATAATTATAGCCTGTTCTGTAGATGAAATCAGAAGTTTCCCACCCATATAACTTGCCAAACACCTACTAGAAACTTTTAGTCAATTTAGAGTGCCTATTTAATCACTGAGAGTATTGAGGTCATGACAGGGTGTGTAATAGGAGAAGACCATTTAAATACCAAGGGGAAAAAAGCTTGGGGAAAATTAAATCATCATCTTACTAACAGATTGGTTCCATAAGTTCTTCAGAAGTCAGTGACATGGATCTTAGATGGTATTTTTTCATAGCATCAATGTTATAAAATGGTTCATTTATAAAAGCTCATTTACAAATAAAAGCCAATTATATGTTTCAATCTATCTCGCTTGTAAAGCTCTTTCTATAGAAATTTGGTTGAATTGACAGTCAGGGTTCCATATATACATCTCCTTGTCTCTGCTGCACCTATGTGCATGGTCAAAGTAAGCACATTCCCTCACCTCACCTCCCCACATTGTTTCAGTACAAAGGGTTTTCTTCTGGGTCAACAAAACCTCTTTAACACTCACTCTCCTGGGTACAGGACCTCTGGAGGTAGGCAGAAGGCTTCTTTCAGGAAAGCTCTTCAACCACTAAAAAAGGGAAGGAAGTAAATGCTTTTGGGACACTCTGATATGCTAGAAAGAGCAATAAATACTTGGAGTAGAAACTGAATTTTTGTCTTACTTGTGTCATTTACTCTTTGTGACCCTGGAGACTTGATCTGTCTCAGCATAAATTTCTTCTTCTCCTTCTCCTTTTCCTTCTTCTTCTTCTTTTCAAATTAAATGCCTGCCTGATTTTTTTTTTTTTCATCCAATAAACATTTATGAAGTTACTAAATGCTAATTATTTATGTACTGGGCATTTAAATATTTCTCCCATGGAAAGAGGTGGAGATGCTGTCCTGACCCATACAGCTCTGTTGGGCCAGATTGGCAGAGGAAGCATCTTGGCTGAATCATCAGGGCTTGTTTCTTCTGTACCAAATAATCTTTCTTTCACTACCTAGATTATGTTATTCCCTTTTCTTAGCCAGCCCCAAATCCTACAATGTAAAATTAATTTGAATTGACACATTTTGACCTGTAAACCTTAAGAGAAGAACACCAGGCAATGTCTTCTGTCATTCTACATTTGTGTGAATTAATTAAATCAGATTTCATAGACTTAGCACCAAAATCAAGATGCACTATATGGAGCTTTCACGAAGGGGACTGAATGGGACCCTTCATATGGTGCCTGGGATAGACCCTTTGATGATAGACAAGTCCTATGTATTTCTATATGTAGACTTAAGGGCTCTCAGTCCTAGAGACAGAAAAAAATAGGGGTAGGAGGTAGAAGCATAATGACTGGGTTGAAAGGGCTAAAATTAAACTGTTTCAATTACAAAGTTTTGTCTATACTCTTTCTTCCAAGAATTATATAATAGTTACTATAGAAAAAAATGTTTTCCAATTCCAAATAAGTTTATATAAATTTAAAATACACCTTATGTTTCATTGAAGAAAAATAGATATGTCCTTTTCATTGCATTCACTTATTCATTTCAAACAACATTTACCCAGTGCCTATTCTATAGAAAGGTATAGGTACTAGAAATTCATAGATAATTAAGATGTATCATATAAATGAATGAATATCATAAATTGTTACATGTGTGTTAGGGTGAAAAAAAAGAGCATAAGGAAAGAAATGGAAATGGTTAGGGAATATTTTTTAAAGAGATGTCTTTGAAGTGAATATTGAAAAATGGGTAACTGTGGTTTAGGAAAAGGACAGTGGATGGAAGAGGAGGAAGAGGTTGGAATTCCAGGTAGACAGAACAGCAGAAGTGAAGGAATGAAACAGCATGGCTTACTGGAGAAAGTGCAATGAGTTAGCATGGCTGGTGGGTAGGATAGGAAGTGAAAAGATAAGAAGCTGGAAAATTATATGATTTTATATAATCCTATATGTAATAGTTTACTTAAAAATCAACAGTCTGGTTCAGATTCTTGGAAAGGAAAAGAAAAATCAGCCAAATATTTGATTGTTTGGCCTACACAGTGCTTTTAAATATACAACCTTTCTTTAAACTCAGGGATTTTGAATTTGTTTGAGGTTAAATATTTTATTTTAAAAATACAGTCCTTCATTTTATTATCTAAAACAGTAGTTCCTAATACTTTTTAGCATAAGGACCCTTTTTAACATCAAAAAATTTTGAAGAACCCCATGCATAGTAATAGTTGTAATTTTAGTAACTATCAGAAGTACATAATCATCTGCTCTGGACTCAGATCCTGTGACAAGGAGACCCTGGGACAATCCTGCATATAGGCCACAGAGTCTGTTAGATGTTGCTCTTTGCTTGGGATGAGATGGGATTGATAGACTGTTGCTGGTGTTCCTGGAGTCTATAATAGCACAGTGTCTTTGGTGTTCTGAATGTTGGCCTTACTGCTTTACAAAAAGATCCTATTAATTAATTGAAGGCTGCCAAAGATATTGGCAGATTTCTGATATTGGCAGATTTCTTGAATGCATAT